TCTTCCTTCCTTCCTTCCTTCCTTCCTTCCTTCCTTCCTTCCTTCCTTCCTAGCAAGCTCTATACCCAACATGGAACTTGAACTCACAAGCCTGAGATCAGGAGTTACATGCTCTACCAACTGAGCCAACCAGGGGCCTCTTCTTTCTTTTTTAATGACCCTGCAACATTTTATTGAAGTAACACATTAAAAAAAAAAAAGCAAAGAGAATAAACAAAAAACCAAGACATTTCCTTTTAGATAAAAACAAATTTTCATTAATCTGATACTCTCTTTATGGCATGTGGGAGGCACAGAGATAACAGGTCAAGTTTATCACTAGATCTACTGCCCCCTTGTGATCCTCATGGCTGCTGCTGCAGGGTCCCTGATGCTGAGCAGCTGTTCCAGTCTCCATGAAGACCTGCTGTCTCAGCCTTGAGAGTGTCCCTATTTTCTTGAGAATTCTGGCAGTCTATTTCTGTCCCCTAACAGAGCATAGGCCAGGTAGTAGCGTATGAAGGATGACAGTAAGCATCAGGATAAACACGGCATATATTTCTGGATTATGAATTTAAAGCTTTGTGTGTGTGTGTGTATTGAAACAAATGAAAGCATATTACAGAACACAACACATGAATTTTAAAGATAGAACCTGAGATTTCAAAGAGATATCATACATATAAGAGACCACATCTCACAGGCCTGCAAGAATACAGCCTCACTTTCCTGGCTGTTAGGAGGAATTTGTAGGGAAATTTTTAAAAACACTGAGCTTAATCAGTAGACTCGTATATGCCTTAAGTGCACAAACTACAGCAACCTAAGAAATACAATTGCTATGTATTCTAACTTAATTGTTCAGATGATCTTCTAATTAGAATTACTATGGCGGAAAATCAAGGGTAGCAAATGGCTTTAGTGAGCTTGTGCAGAAAGATAACTCTGCCATAAAAGGATGGGTTATTACTATTTAAAGTTGGAGAAGAAGGAAGACACCAGTCAGGAACCCCAACAAAACAAAATGAAGTAAATATGAGGGGACACCACTTTGAAGTACAGGAAACTGACACAGCCCTAGGGCTGCATCCATTGTCCCAGGGGAGAGATTTGAAACTCAACAAAGGTCTAGTTCAATTCTCTGGTAGGGCCAGGAGCAGAGTGACCCAGTTCCATCATTTTCTGATAGGCATTTTGCAGAAATGAGTGCAAAGCATGACCTGCTTCCTGGCTTCAGGTCGGTGGGCAGTGACCATGAGAAAATGTGTTCAGTGGCACGAATGAAAGGAAGTGGGCAAGGTGAGGATGCACCACGTGATAGGCGAGTGGTCTCTGTGTCTCTGGAGTGGCTGTGGCCTCCAGTGTGCTTCCCCAGGATTCAAGTTCTCCAAAGCATTCCTTGATGGGAATTTCTTCTCACTCCCAGTTTTCTCATAAGTAAAATGCAGATAATCATATCTGCCATTCTACGCCTTTTATTGTATTAACTCTAAGTGGGTGTGGTGCTTTCAATGTTGTGTATCGCACACACCTATCACAATGATTGTACAGAGATGGTGTCTATCTTAGATAACAGATGTTACAAATTATTATGTGTAGTGTCAAGCAATAGAATCTATGTCCTTGTTCTTTGCTGGGTTGTATTATTCTTCGAAACAAATTTGAGTAATAATGTATTTTTAGCAAATGCTTGCAGTGTGGTGCCTGCACCCTTGCCCACAGGAACTGCCCTGTACATGGGCAGATGGCCTACACCATGGTTTAGTGGCGTGGGAAACAGCATTTGCAGTGAAACATCCTTCCTCTCCAGCTGTCACCGTAAGTGAAAGCCCACCAGTTGGTGGAGGTGACTTCCTTTGAATCTCCTCTAACATTCCCTTTTCAAACAGAAGCAATCCAAGGAGAGCTAATCTAGAACGTTGCATCGAGATGTGAGTTAGGTTACGATCCACTCCATTTTGGAGAGTAAGCTGGGAAATGGATATGGGATCAATAAAGTGGGAGGAGATTTTGGAAAGTAATTCGGTAACTAGAAACATTAGGCTTTGGGTGGACAAAAGGGTATTAAAAGGTTACAGAGTACCATTAGGTGTTGGGGGGATGGGGAAGCAGGAGCAGCCTACAGGAGGAAGGCAAATAAAGGTGCCGGAATGGGGAAGAACTGAGGACAAAATCTTTTGCATGTTCCATCTGGCTCCAAGTGCACATCTTTTATCAAGGACAGTGGACAAGACAACTGAAAAAAAATTCTGCAAGATGAGCTCTGCCACAGGGACTGAATATAATTTGTTTCTTTTTGAAGCTACATCAGAGGTGAGGGGCCAACTGGGTGGGGCTGCAGCCAGTGGGCAGTGCGAACAGGTGAAGCCATGCTGTTGGAGAAGTGAGGGGCAGTCTGAGACTGGAATAGATCCCCCCCTCTCTCTTATCCATCTATCCATCCATTTGTCTATTTCTATACTTACAATATAGACTTGGGAAAAAGTATTGCCCCTCACTCCTCCCAGTGAGACAATATTGCTGACCCAGTACTCATGGTACAGTCCTAAAATGCCACAAGGAATCTACTAAATGACTCAGAATGTCTTTCTATTAACAAGCTCAGTGAGTAGCAGAAGGGAAAGAGTTTCCTTGGGACAATAAAGGCACAAGATCTGTGCACAGTGGTTGCAAAAATCACTGAAATTCATGCCACCCTTATCCAGGTTGGGAGTCTACCCACCAGAAAGTAGTAATTACCCAGACAAAAAGTTTCAACTGAAACTTGGGACTAAAGGTAGAGCTTCCCCTACTCTCACTCCAGAACCGTCTTCTTGTTCTGTTTTTCGTTTTCATTTTTTTTTTTTTTTGCAATGAGACTACTGCATCTTCCTCAAGCTTCTCATCTTGGCAAGTGTCCCAGCACTGCCCAGGAGCCGTGTGTCAGCAGAGCATCTGCGGCCCAGCGGCGTGTTTGGGGACAGCCTGCAGAGGCCTGGAGATCACAGCGCATCTGCTGCACAGAGGTAGGTGCCCGAGTGGCTGGACTGGGAGGCTGTGATACGCAGGGAACTTTGCTGCTTTTTCTCATCCAACATGGCAGTGATGTCTTCATGACTCTTTGCTTCCCCATTTTTCCGTAATATCATCAAGGAGATTAGACCTTCACTCTTCTTTTGCCAGTACCAGTGTAAGGCATACACAGGCTTTGATGAACTGCAGTTTATGGTGACGACTTCTCCTTCTTGGATGATCAGGAACCGTGGACTCTGCTCCAGTTCTTGGTTACTGACCCCTGTTCAGAAAGACAATGTAAAGAAAACGCAGGTGACCACATAAGATCTTCATGCTCATTATAGGGATGCTTTTTCTCTGCCCCCCTCTTCACTTCACAGCAACATTATCACGTCCACACAGAATATTGTCTATCTTTTCAGCATGTATCTGGCTCTCAAATGGACAACCCCAGGACAGACGATGACTCAGTCCTTGCCCTCAGGGAGCTGTCAGCATCTCCTGACTCTCCTAGACTAACCCCATACTTACAGGCTGCCTGCAACTCTAACATCCCTATGAGTACTTGCAGGAGAGTCTCCGTCCTCTGGTTCCTCAGAAGACAGCCCAATCCGGCGTTCTCGAATGAGCTTCCCCAGCACAGGTTACCTGAGCTCAGTGGGGTCTCACCGGTGCAGGACATTGTACCAATCAGAGAGACCAGACCTGGTTTCCTGTTCCTCCGGCACTGCAAATCTAAACTCAAATACTTTTGAACACTGCCACCTTTCGGCCAGGCTGAGAAGTCCTGAATAACGGATGACGTCTAGAATTAATTTATATACATGAGGTACATTTATTTATTGCAACGAGTATGGTATTTATTATCGGATATCAAAAATACCTTGTTACTTTTGCATGCTTGAAACAGTTTCCCCTTTGTAATTAAAAGAAAGTGAAAAATTCTGCTCTCTAGAATACTGAGTAATTGTTTTTCAACATTTCAGTTCTGCCAACTTTTGATTTCAGTCTTATAAAAAACTGCTTTACTGAGGCATCCTCAATATGACATATAATAAACTGCACATATTTAAAATGTACAATTTGATCATTTTTGACATGGACATACAAATGTGAAACCAGGATCACAATCTAGATAGTGAGTGTATGCACTACCTCCCTAGGCCCTTTGTGGTCCTATTCATTGTGCTCTTTTTGAACTCCTCTTGTATACTTTCCCAGCACATCCCTCCAACCCCCATTCAGCCCAAGTGTTCACTGGTCTGTCTTCTCTTACTATAGATGAATTTGCATTTTCTAGAGTTTTATGTAAATAAAATCATAGAGTATAAACTCTCTCTTGTTTATTTTGACATATTTATTTTGAGATTCATCCATGTTGTCACATTTATCGGTAATTCATTCCTTTTAATTGTTGACTAGTATTCCATGTGTAGTTATACCACAACGTATTTAACCATTCACCTGTTCATGGACTTCTGGGTTATTTCTAATTACTGTTTTTGAAGCTATAATGAAGATTCACTTATAACTGTAGAGACATAAACTTTTATTTCTTTTGGGTTAGTATCCAGAAGTGTAATTGGTAGGCTCTATTGTAGGCTCGTGTTTAACATTTTAATAAACGGTGAAACTGTGTGAGAGTTCCAGTTGCTTCAAAACTTCACCAATACTTGGTGTGTCAGTTACTTATATTTTAGCCATTCTAGTAGGTATGTAGTGGTATCTTGTCATTTTAATTTGCATTTTCCTTAAGAATAATATGCTGAACATTTCTTCATGCTTATTTACTATACATAGGGTTTTTTGTGGTGAAATGCCTGTTCAGATCTTTGGCCCATTAAAAAAAATTGAGTGTTTGTCTATTAAGTTGTAAGAGCTTTAAAAATATATATTCTAGATACAGGTCTTTTAAAATTTTATTTATTTATTTATTTATTTAAAATTTTATTTTATTATGTTATGTTAATC